CCCCAAAACCCCAAAACCCCAAAACCCCAAAACCCCTAAATCTCTATTTGTTATTGGCCATCTTAGAATTTATTTATTAGTCTTAGCGCCGGCAAGGTTGTACTGGAAACCTTTAAAGCTTGGGTGTTTGCTCATGTTCAACCATTGGGCGAGGTTAATCGAGTTCTTCATATCTTGTTTCTATTAGGTTAAAAGCAGAAGAGTACCTTTCCCTGCTTGGGCTTCTTATTCATGCCTAAGGGTCTTTGGTCTAAAGGGTTACGCATAAGGATTACTTCTTTGCTCAACCTTCTTGATAATCTCTTTTTGAACAGACAGTTTAGTGTATTGGTCAATTGAAGAAAGACTGTTCTTCACAATAGGATCATTCTCACCATAGAGTCTTACAAGGATGTTGTGAGATTTCTCTTGGTACTCAAGAGCTTGTCTGAACTGTTCATGGTTCTGGTAAGCGCTGGCAATGATTTGATAACAATTAGCAACCTGCACATGTTCTTCTCCATACATTGCAATATTTCTATACAATGATTGTCTGAAGCAATCAAGGGCTGATTGAGAGTCATCAATCTCCAAATACATAAAGCCAAGGCTTGAATAAGTTGATGAAATTTCAGGATGGTTATCTCCACAGACCATTTCATGGATGTACAAAGCTCTCTTCATGTATTCAAAGGCCTTAGTATAGTTACTAATAGTAGTAATATTAGCTAAGCTGGAGTAAGCCTGAGCAGTTCTAGTATGAATTTTTCCAAATAATTTCTCACTCAAAATCACACATTTTGTTTGAAGTTGGACAGCCTGATTGTAATCTCCGAATTTGAAGTGGATATTTGCCAATTGAGAGAGGCAAATAACTGCTTCCTTGTTGATTGGGCCTGAAACTTGGAGATTAATGTTAATAGCTTGATTGTAGAACTCGAAGGCTTGATCATAGAATCCATCCTTGAGAGCAGCCTTAGCAGTACCAATGAAGTTCTTGTAATCCAAGTTGACGATTTCGAAAGTCTTTACCTTTGGAACAATCTCTACTACATCTTTTTCAGTGAATGGGAGAAGTCTCTTCTCATCAACCTTGGTCTCTTCAGTGCTGATTTCTTCAAAGTTATAGTTCTTTGAGTGGATCTTGAGTCCAATCTTGATACAAAGATCCCTGAGGAGGGCAGCCTTGTTCTTGTATGTCTTTCTGCACTCATTGTCTTCAAGTTTAGCAGGGAGGTCATATCCATACCTTTTCTTAACGAGGTAAGTTATCTTTTGGTAAAACTCACTAGGCTTCATTGAGAGATATTTACTGTTCTTGTTATCATCTATCAAGCTCTTAAAGTTTTTAGTATAGAGGGATTTAATTTCAAAAAGTTTGGGCTCATCCTTTGTAACATCTTCATCATGATTTTTATTCTTTTTATTTTTCTTAGATTTGTTCTTGCCTTTCTTCTGCTTTGTTTCTTGGACTTCTTTGACCTCCTTCTTAGTCTCTTCTTTGTTGGTTTCTTCAGAGTCAACATTCTCTCCAGCATCAAGTTTTTGGATGATATCAGCTGGAGCTAAGAGAATGTTGAGAAGGTGAGCAATAAATTGAGATGCTTTGGAGCTAGCTACACCTCTGATAAGATCATTGAAAACCTTAGCAGTGCTTCTAACGATCATGCATCTCTCAAGAAGGGTTCTGATATACTGGAGTTTTCCTTCGCTTAATGAGTTTGCTACCTTTCCAATGTATCTAATGTTGAGTCCTTGGCTGTGGAAGATCTCACTAAGAGATTGATTGTCAGTTGGCACATTTTCTCCGATTTCAAAATTCTTCACAACTCTTGGGATGATAACATCATTAATATAGTTGCCCAGATCCCTAACTTGCTTCTCTTCTTCAGTATAATCTCCTTCAGCTAGCTTAGCGTTAGTGAAGAGGTTCAAATTATAGCTGAATTGTGGAGCTTCCTTCATATGTTTCTCAAATCTCTGAAGTCTCTCGATTTGTTTTTGCCTTCTTTCCTCCATTCTCTTTTTGTTGTCGTCAATGGCTTGCTTCTTTTCTTCTTCAGTCATTTCTGAGAATTTCTTCTCTTCAGACTTTTCCTCTTCGATTTCAGGTTCTTCGTTCTGTTTTTCCATTGTGGTGGCATACTCAATATCCTTTGCCTTTTGGTAAATCCTGACTAGTTCCGGCCTGATCAAGGCAGAAGTGTTGTTCTTTCCTTTGTAGTTGGTGTCTCTAGGAGTCAAACGGACTAGATCGAGTAAGTACTTCCTCTTATCAGTCCCTTTGATTCCTTTAATATCGATGGAACCAGGAATAACGTGTTTTACCTCAGCTTCGTCCAGAATTGTGGCTTCTTTGATAGAGAGCTGATCGCAGACTTTCTTCATAACTTCAGTGAACTCTTCAGTGTGATAGATGGTCTTGCCGTCGTCAACTGAGCCAAACTCTGTGAGAGTGCTCTGATCTGTGTTGGTAAGAATTCCAGGAATGATGCTTTGAGCAACAACTCTGTATCCCTTGTAGTTTACATGACAGGTTGCGATAATGTATACTCCATCTATATCGATGACCTGTAATGTCTTCAAACCAAGCATATCATGATTAGTAGCAGTATAGGTTGGGTTGGAGTCGTTAGAGGAGACATCTTTATAGTTCTCCTTATTGTCAACTGCAAAACTGAAGAAAATCTGGTTGTATACAAACACATGCTGATTTTCTTCATCCATTGGGTTCAAAGGTGGGATGCTCTTGTTAACAATAGCAATGGCTCCCTTTTGAGCAGCTTCAGTGAAGTCGTAATAGATTTTATAGAAAGCTCTATCTCTCTGAATACGTTGAAAGATATGGTCCTTTGGAAGGTCCTTGCAGACTTGGAATTCTTCATTCCAGTCTCTAGATCCTTTTGAATCAATTCCATAATATCCGCTAGTAGCTTCTTCATGAATGGATTTGAAGGCCTCTGTGGGGTACCTGACTCCATTTTGCTCGGAGAGCCACTCTGAAGAAGGAAGCATAAGCTGAGAGATTGTGAATGGGTCTGTCTTTAAAATTTTATTGATATGCTCTTCTAATTTCTCTGCAAATTTAGGACTAGTCTGGATCAATAAGCCGACCAATGAATGTGAGAAGCATGGGCTAGTTCTCTGACTCATTCTTGGATCAAAAGTGCTATTCTCAAAACTATTGTTGATGAAGAACCCTTTCACATTACTTGTGATGACAATCTCAGGTCCTTCAAGTGTTCTAGCTTTAAGGTAGAAGAGATCTCCCTTCAAAGCATGAGCAGAAGGAACTGGATTGAAAATGGAGAATTCAATATAGTCCAAACACTTTACTGGTGAGAACTCAACAACATCCTTATCTAAAGGAGTGGAAAATACTTTTTCAAAATCAACGACTGCTTCATTAGTGCTTGGAGGTGCGGTATTCTTCTTAGCCTCTTCAATTGAGGTTTTAACATCATTCATAATTTTATTGTACTCTTCTTGCTGCTTTTTAGCTTCATCATTTGTAGTGTTTTCAGAATCTTTATTCTCCTCCTTATTTTCTTCAGTCTTTGAATCTTCCTTCTTGTCTTCGGTACTCTCTGGTTGGGACTCTGCCTGGGTTGTATCATTCTGAGTCTCTGATGGGGTACCTTCACTGCTAGGAGCTTCAGTTTCCTGTGGCTTTGTGACAGAGTTAATAGCATTTGAAAGAGAATTTGTAATATCGTTAGATAAGTTCAATACACTTGGTGAGTACAAGATTTCTTTAAACCTCTTATAATGATTTCTGGCTGTCCTTTCGTTGTACAAGTCAGGCTTCATGTAGATCTCGTTATCCTTTGAGAAATCAAGTGTAGTCAATTCATCATAATCATTTAATCTCTTTCCACAGTGTTCAAAATAATAGTTGGTGTAGAAGCATGTATTTACATTATCATTGAGGCATTCTCTGAGCTCAATTGCAAGTTCAAGTTGGATAGCCTACATGTTATACTCTTTCCTTTACTCCAAGTGGGATCTTTCTTCCGTTGAGATCTACAATAGTAATGTCCATCCCCTTTTCATTGATCATGGACTCAATCTGGCTGAGTTTCTCTTCGCCAATTTTGTCTTTGAGCTCTATACCATGGTCTTCATGAGGACTGCTTACCTTGCTCTTTAGTGTCGATTTCCTTTTGGATTTGAGTATTTTCCATTTTCTATATATCAATTTTATCAACCATAAATCTCTATTTGGGGTTTTGGGGTTTTGGGGTTTTGGGGTTTTGGGGTTTTGGGGTTTTGGGG